AAATGGTCCTGGTGGAGACTCCACTGGGGTGGGAGGCAAGCAGCAAACCTAATACCAACCCTTTCTTGGTGCCCCATATATATGTGACTCAAAAGGCCTGGGAAACAGGCAGGGTGCTAAGGATCTCCCCCACCCTCTCAATTTTGTATGGCCTGTTTTAGGAAGTAACCCTAGTGCAGAGCCTTACAAGAAGAAGTCAGCAAGGAGCACAGGGGGTCGTCCCCACCTCTTCCCTTCAACTCAGTACTGGAGGAGCTCTAGTTCAGGTTCCAAATTGCTTTCCAGAACGACAGACTGACTCACAGTTAGACCAGTTGTGAATTAGTGTGCTTACCTTCCCGCAGCCTCTCTAACAACTGTTTTCTTCCTTTTTTATCACATTTGCCAATCTGATCAGTGAGGGGTAGAAGAGGATGATAGAATGACACTTTTTCATTTGGTTATTGATAGCCTGCCTTCCTTCTTTTGAGAACTTTGGTCATTTACCAGGAATTGCTCTTGTTCTTATACAATTATATCAACTCTCTATATATATCTGGGATATCAGACAGACTTTTTTCGGGGAGGGGGGGAAGTTGCAAAGATTCCCTCTTCATTCTATTTGTGTAAAAACTTCTATTTTGTATAATCACAATGGTCTGTTTTACCTCCTGTGATCATTTCTATCCCTTGATTGATCAAGAACTCTTCCCCTATCCATAGTTGTGAAAGGTATCTCCTCCCATTCTCCTTTAATTTATTTATGATATGACCTTTTATATCTAGGCCGCGTATCAATTCAGAGCTTATTGTGGTAGATGGTGTGAGATGTTGATCTAAGCCTAATTTCTCCCAGGCTACTTTCCAGTTTTCTCAGCAGCTTTTGCCAAATAGTGAGTCCTCAACCTCAGTACTTGGTGTTCTTGGGTTTACTGAACATCATGTGACTGTGTTCAATTAGTTTTGGACATTGTGTACCTATTCTGTTCCTTGGTCAGCTTTTTTTCTTTTCTTTTCCTTTCTCTTCTTTCTCTTTTAGTTTGAGATCTACAGCTAGATGCATTTCCTTCCCACTTTTTTTTTCATTACTTCCTTGAAATTCTTGACTCTTTATTCCTCCACATAAATTTTGGCATTATTTTGCCTTATTCTATAAGGCAATTCTTTGGTACTTTGGTATAGCACTATTATCATCTTATTACATTAGTATGACTAAACCATGAACAATTAATTCCTCTCTAATTATTTGTCTTTCTTTATGTAAAGAGTGTTTTATAATGAGTCATATGATTCCTCTACATGTCTTGCTAAGCAGACTCCCAGATATTTCATACATTCTGTGGTAATTTTGAATAGAATTTTTTTTCTTACTGCTTCTCTTCCTTATCTGTTTTACTAGTAGTATACATTAAGGTTTACTATATTTGTGGGTTTATTTTCTATCCTGCTATTTTAATGACATAGACTGTTTCTATTAATTTTGAGTTGAACTTCTAGGGTTCTATAAGTAAATATTACCTGCAAAAAGTGAAAATTTTATGTTTTCTTTGCCTATGCTTATTTCCTCAATTTCTTCCTCATTTTATTGTTGTAGCTGGTATTTCTAGAACTTGTTTTATTGGTATAGCTTGTATTTCTAGAATAAATAACAGTGATGACAATGGACATCCTTGTCTGGCATAGTAATTAGCGAAACATGATTAGCTCTGTGTGTGTGTGTGTGTGTGTGTGTGTGTGTGTCTGTGTGTCTGTGTCTGTGTATGGGTGTCACTTGTGTCAATCCCCGTCCTTTAGGTTTGCCCAGGTTCGGCTGATAGAGTCTGACCCCTCAAAAAGTCTCCCCACTTTCAGTTATTGGTTCAGGCCCAGACCCTGCTCACTCCCAGGACAATTCTATTATTGGCTCAAGTTTAAGTCAGCAAGAATGGAAAAGTGTTAAAAGTGACTTGAGTGTATAAATTAATCAGAGAACACATAATGATTAGAACAGAATCCAGGTACTTATCTATTACTACCATCTCTTCCACTACTAGCATAAAAGTCGAGAGAATAACATTCAAACTTCACTGAGACATTTGCAAGAGGTTTCTTTTTTAGGGTTAATTGCCATTTTGTATTTTTCACATCTGTTCAGGTGCCTGGGAAGGATCTCACAAGGTCTTGTACCAAAGGAAGAAAACACAAATGAAAGATGGCCCTAACCCAGGTACAGAATTGCCTAGGAGGTCGTGAGCTCATGGCTTGCAGATAGGTAAGGGGAGTTTTTCTACACTGACCAAGTCCTCATGTAGCTTAGTGAATTGTCCTGGCATTTCAAATCCTGCAGAAAAAGGAGACCTCAGTGGTAGGGTTCACCCTTTTAGTTATCCGGAATTCTGGCTCAGTAGTGAATTAAAAGACTTTTTGTCACCACTTTGTAAGCAACCCTAAATCATTCATTGACATGAATCAGCCAGAGAAATCTTATCCTTGGAAGCACATGTAGGGTAGGGGTTGGGGATAGAGTTTAGAGGCTGGGTTGGTTTCTACAGCATATACCTTGAAACAGGGCCACCCTAATCTTCTATGTGCTTGCTTGAAATCCAAGTTTATGGTGCCCTAAGGAAAAATCTTAAGGGGTAGCTACACTCATTTTACCGCTTATTGGATAGGTAGGTCTGTCGTGTTTTTTTTTTAATAATTATTGCAAATGAAACCAGTTCTTGGTTAAGCTTCCCTTAAAATAGAACTTTCAATGTTTGGAAATCTCAGTATTTTCAAAATATATGCATTGGATTGGGGTAACATAAAAAGGTTGTTAGGAGTAGGGTTAATTTCTGATTCTGTTAGTTTAGGTTAAATGTTGATACAAAATTCAAAATGAGGCACTTAGGAGTTCACAATAGGAGGTTTACTTAGCCTTAACAACAATAAGAATACACTTAGCTTCTATAGACTGGGTCCCCTTGGCTCATGTACAGAAATTCATCAGGTCACTAGGGCAAGGGGCAGTCCTGGGGCTGAGAAATGAGTGGGACCTTTTAATACTCTTAGGTAACCAGGAAAGCAGCAATCATCGAAGGTAAGAGCCTTGAGGATGTGGGGGTGACCCTTGGTAATTAGTCCTTTCACAGGGATGTTTGGAGCTTCAAATAAATCGGGAGGTTTACAGCATTTTCATAAAGTGAGGTGAGTGATACTATAAAGAAAAAAATAATTTCTTCATAACAATCAATAAGTCAACATTGATAGAAAGTCAAGCACTTCTGAAGCATTTTTTCATGAAAAAATGCAAAATTAACTTGAAAAGCTAGTGTTATTTTATGTTTTATAATTTAAATATCCTGGAAGTAGAAGAAAAAAGAGACCTTTTTTCCTCTAAGAAAATAATTAATATTTCATTTTGAATTGCCTGTTATTTTCTGGGTATCGGAGCACATACAGAATAAAACAGAAAGGCATTATCACTCAAAGGAAATAGTGGCAAGGCTAACATAAGGTCTTTGCTAGAGCATAATGAGGCTAACTAAAATTTAAATGTGGTTATTTAATACATTTATTTGAGTATTAATAAGGTAGCATCTGAGACCCACTGACAAACATTTATAGATATGGGAAAAAATTCTGCTTCTTTGTATGCATTGTGTGTGTGATGGTGATGATGATGATGATGATGATGGCAAAAATTCAACAAAGGAGAGGAATGGTGAAGAACTGAACCTGCATTAGAAAGTATCTTCTCAGACCAGCTTTCTGGGATGGCTTTGAACTCTTGCTTATCATTATTTTATGCATCTTCTTTTCTTTGTGTTGGTGGTGGGGAGAAGAAAAGTACAGGAGACTAGCCTTTAGGATTTTTAATCAAAGCTACTGCTCTGCTGATTGCTGTAGTGGATTTTCAAAGGGTAAAGCAAGTGGGCAAATTAAAATCCCATGTTCCTGTGGGCTAGGAGCTGAGCTTTTCAAAAAGCTCTGCAGCAAGAGCATATTTTCAATTGTATCTTACTGTTACCCTATCCTTTCTGAGATCTACATCCTCAGTACTCTTTTCTCTTTCCAGTTGATTGGCACAGAAAGAGAAGAGACAGACAGAGACACAGACAGACAGACAGAGACAGAAAGACAAAGAGAATGGGAAAGAGATGGACAGAGAGAACAGAGAGACACAGAAACACAAAGACAGACATGCCAAAAGAGACAGAGAGATAGACTGAGACACAGACAGAGTCAGACTGAGACAGAGACAGAGAAATATAGAGACATAGAGAGATGGAAAGAAGGGTAGGGGTGAGGCAAGAGAGGAGAGACAGAAAGACATAGAGACAGAGAATATAAAGAGGTGGAGACTGAGGCATACATAGACAGAAAAAGAGATAGGCAGAGAGCGAGAAAGTGACAGTCACAGAAAAGAAACATAAGGAAAGCATTTTACAAGCCTTAAAACACCATATAAATGAATAATGATTATTATTTTAAGAAAGAGAGAGGAGAAGAAGTGGTCCTATAATAGAGGGATAAAAGCAAGAACCCAAATAAACTGGAGTCTAAAGTAATGAACTGAATAGGCTAATAGTGACAACTGGCTGTATAATATAAATAGATTAGTTAGATCAGGTTCTTCACTTGAATTTTTGCCCTACAAATCTCAACATTGGCAGTATAACAGGGAAGAAAGAAACTACAATTTTTGTCTTTTTGTGGACAATACCTCCCACCCCCCTCTGACAAAACATTGTCACTTTAATGGAAAGTTTCTTTTCCTGAGAATTGTTTGTTTTTTTCAAATTACAATTTCTCACTTTTAGTTAAACTTGCAGCCTACCCTTCCCTTTTCCTCTCCCCTGGTCCCTTAAAAAGGAGCCCAGTTGACTGTTTAGTAGCCTCACGATTAATTCCCATGGATTGGGATTCCCAATCTTTGAACCACAATTTTTGGATACATTTTAAGGTATACATGGACTTGGATGAAGAAGAATTATATTTGTAATCCGATGTATTTCTTTTTATGCATTTACAAACATTATTCTGAGAAGTTCATAAGTTTGTCCACATTACCAAAGGGGTCCATGATGCAAAAAAAAAAGGGTTGAGCAAATCCCATCTCTTTTTCAATCTAAAATGTAAAGCGTTAAATCAGTGTGTGTGTGTGTGTGTGTGTGTGTGTGTGTGTGTGTGCGCGTGTGTGCGTGTGTGCATCATCGAATGTTAAGACTGGAAGGGATCCTAGAAATCAACTTCATTCAGCCCCTTCATTTCACAGACAAGAAATTCATGGACACATAACAACCTTCCACACTTCAAAATTTATAAACAATAAAATGATGGAAAGTGTGAACATCTGTCATGTGGCTAAGGTAAAAAAACAAATACAGAACGCGTCTCTTAGCTAGGAAACAACTGGAAGGAAAATGCCGGAGGGCTAGCCTGGACCAGGCCATTGTGATCTCTAAGGCTTCTGGACACGCCAAGAAGTGGGGCGGAGCGTTTGTTGACTGCTTAAATACTTTGATGTTGTAGCACTCATTGGTCACTGCTCAGTCCAGGCAAAGGCTGAAACAGTTTTATGTTGTGAACAAGTGCCGCGGGTGGGAAAAGGCTAGGCGGCAGACTGGGAGGCACTGAATGTTAGGGCGGTGAAAGACACCCTTTGTGCAAGCTTTCTGTAAAAGGGGGAAGGGAGTTGGTCAGAGAAAAGGAGAGGGGGAACTGAAGGGCCAGGGTTGCCATGCCCAGCTGATTCCGCCAGATGTGCAGGTACATTCCAGCGGTTACAGTAGCCGCTGAAAGCTCCTGTAGGGGGCCATGTGGATTTCAGAGATGCGAGAGAAGACGAACCAGCGCACTCCTTCAACCCTTCTTTGGTAGGGGGAGGGGCGAGGAACTTAGAAGGAGGATAGTTTCTCAGAACTGAGAAGGGAATTAAAGAATTCCCTCCTCTCCTTTATATAGGTGGAGGAGAGATCACGCTGTCATTAAAAGCACATCACCTCCCTTGGCAGCTGTGCCAGGCATCGGGAGACCGGCGAGCCGACACTGAGAAGGGCAAGCCCCGCCTGGGTGGAGGTGTTACAGACCTTCTTACCATACCTGGGGGAAAGGGGCGCCCGGACCGCGCTCCGTGCCTCCTGCACCAAGGCTGTATGGCTTGTGGCTTATTTTCCCAGCTGGCAAACGTCACTATGAAGACAAGGGAATGCCTGTGGTGAGTTGTTTATTTTGTCAGAGTTTGCGGTGGGGTTGGGGTGGGGGTAGAGACAGGGAATGAAGGAGTGTGGAGGAGAGGTAGGGGGAAGAGGGAGTTGGGAATTGAACTGTATTGCTTGGGTCTCCATCCACCGGCGTAGTATAAATCTCTCAGCCCTCAAGGAAACCGCTAAGAGAAAGGATTGTGCTTAAAAACTGCTTCCCATCTACAAGAATTGCCCCTTTACAGCCTTTGCATAGTTGAGCCAACTTGATGCATAACAGTGGGCAGCTGATACACAGACATACAGCAGACACACAACCCTTCACAAAACACACTAGTTGTAAAACAGCATGTTCAGGCAGTAGGTTTCCAGTGTTCAGCTAGCAACAGCAGTTCTTCCCGGGCCACAAAATCGGCCTCTGCCTTTTCCGTTACTTCCAGAAGAAAGGTTCCTGTAAGATGAGTAGATGTGTGTGGCATATAGGTGGAGCTGATGGAAAACTTGTCCTGTAGGAATCCAGAAAAATAGATGAAGTTAGCGCATGCTTTCTTTGTGTGCGGGTGATTTTCCTTATAATTCTTAGAAATAGTAATACCGACTTGACAGTATTTATCACTCCTGAGGATAAATCGGCTTTGTGCCTAATAGACCCCGGAGGAACCCCAAAGAAAGTATGTTACCCTCATCTTTGGGGCAGGTGGTTTCAGAGCCTGATGAAATGTAAGCCGGGCCTGGGCTCAGTATCACAAAGTGTAACTGATGGTAATAATTGCCTGGAAGAAAATCCTAAATACATTAGTGAGATGGTAAAGCTTTTAAGGCTTTCTTGGGAGTGAGTGCCTGGCTAATGAGAGGTTAATTTTGTTTCTGAGGGAAGACTGTGCTGGTTTCCTGAGATAAATGGCCAGGAAGCACATTGCCTCCCTGGCTCTGGCAATCGGCTCCCAAATGCTTTTTGCACCTGCTACTTTCAAGCTCAGTGAGTGGTTGTAAAGATGTGAGGATCCTGTCAGCCAATTTTTGTAGGTACAATTAATGAATTTTCACACTTCCAGTTCTGGACAGGGTACTAACTGTTGTGTCTATTATCTAATACTTAGGTTCAAAAAGTAAGTGCCAGGTCCAAGCTTTTCAAGGACTTTCGATGTCTCTTTGGCCTTCCAGTCACCATACAGGACCATAAGGGTTAAAGATGATGTAAGTACAAACACTTGGAGAGGTTGTATTCTTTTAGAACTTATTTTATTTTAGTTCCTTGACCTCCTCTCCTCAAAATGGTAGATAACAAGGCGGGGGGGGGACAGAGGGGAGTGGGAAACATATCACATATACTGTGTTAAAAAACTGAAACCTAAGGACTGATAGATACCCAGCTGCTCTTCCTTAATGCATTGTATTAAGCAGACAGACCTTGAGACCTGTGTTGGATTTCTGAAAATGGAGATTATATTAACAGGGGAACAGTTAAGCCATCATGAATGCCTTCAGGAAAAGCAAACCACATTTTGTTTAAAATCCATTAATGCTTCTTGCATGTATTTGAATTCTACCCAGTTACACATTAAGTTTATGTTTTGCTGGGTCCCTAAATAGCCTGCTACCTTGTTTCCTCTTTACTGCACTAAAAGAAAAATGGGAACGGGGTAGGAGAAGGAAGGAAGGGAGGAGGAACTAAGTAGTTGGATGGATTCCTGACTGGTAAAAATCATTGATTTCAGCATATTGTTAGTTTGAAATGTAAAGTCATTATCTATCAGTGATGGAATACCCATTCAATTCTGTTTTTCCCAAAGTTAATGCTGGGGACATCTTATTTTTTTAAGTAAAAAACACTGTGTGCCCCTCAAAGTCCATCTACAAAGCTCTTGGGTTTAAAACCTGATACAAATTATTGATATCAATTCTAATTTACTATTCCAGTCCCTCACCTCACCTAATGCCTTGACACCTGAAAATGGGAACCTCCTTCTAGCTTAATTGTAAAAATTAGCATTTCCCTCTAGCCAACTATACACTTATATAGCAATAAAAAGTGAATTGTTACACACATAAATCTTGAGCTTGTCAAATTTTACAACACAGGAACAATAAAGCACCTTAGAGAGATGAAATTTTTCCTGTTAAGAAGTGTCATTTAGTGATCGTAGAGTTTGCAGAGAGCGCCCTCTATTGTTAGCAAACTCTAGAGTACCTGTCATAGCAATGAAGCTAAGAAAACCTCGGGGAGTCAGGAAAAAGACAGACTTAAGTTATTTTTTTAAATTTTGAATATTTGTTATATGCTGAGGTACAAAGAATTTATGATGCTTCTTTTAATTGCTTCGTAAAACACAAACTTCTGGATTAAAGGAGGACCAGCGAAGCAAATTTTACAAATTATGTCAGTTTTGTTACACTACTTTGGAATACTTAATTGCACCTGTTTCATTTTTTAAGAAAAAAAACCTTCCATTGCTACAATTTTGATTTACATAATCTATATGATAATTACTTATATTCTACAAAATAATTGTGCCAACAGAATAAGACTTTGGGTATGCAGCAAAATCTTGAAGTATGCTAACTCCACATCTGATTCCCCTACCAAAAATCATTTCTCCAGGTCGTAGTAAAGCTATTATTATGTTATAACCTAGTCAAAGCTTGAATTATATCTTAGGCAGTGAAAGTTATGTTTACTACTTGAGTCACCACATCATGTGTAGTAATTATGCAATGAAAAGGTACGGCTGAATAGCGGAGGCAATCCTGCATAAAGGCCCCAGTCTTGGCTAGAGCAGAGTCTGTAAGAAGTAAATTGTCAAGTTGAAGGAGGATGCTGCAAGTCCCTACTATCTAAACTTAATTTGAATAGCACATTGTTTAAAAAGGGGGGTGGGAGAGGGGGAAGGGTTAATGTGTCCATGCTTGATTGTTTCCAAACAGTGTCAAAGTTGTGATATGGGACCTATGGACAAAAAAAAAAAACCATCAGTCATGACTTGATCAGTTTAAGAACGATAATGTGTTTTCTAGGAGAGCTAGGGAAAGTGGATTCAAGTAGGTTAGGTAGCACTCCACAACTATTGATAATCACAGTGAATTCCATCTGATTCTGGTTTTCTCCCTTTTCCATCTCCTTACAAATTGACCTTTTCCTTGTTTCCAATTCTGGAAAAACAGAGATTTAGTTAATGTTGTTGGTTGCTAGGGCCTGGGATGCCTTACCTAGGCTCAGGCAAAAAACAACATTAACATATTTATATAGCATTTTAAGCTAAGTGCTTTCCTAAGCCTGAACCTGTGAGGTAGGTAGGGCAAGTAGCTACCTTTTTTTTCAGATGAAGAAACTGAGGCTATGAGAAGTTGTGACTTGCCCTATCCACGATTTCACAATTAGTTAAGCATCTGAGGCTGAGCATTAACTTCTCATTAATCTAAATTATCCTCTAATCGGGCATGTTAAAGTTTGCCCGCTGTGGGTGAACTAAGTAGAAACTAACCCACGGGCCCAAAATAACTAGCTCTTAGCTAGTAGTCACTAAGTAGCCACTAAGCCCTGACTCTGATGGTCCAGCCAAGGAGAGAAAGCTTCCTCGGGCGCTGCAGGAGCGCCAATGGGCGATCCCCGGCCCGCTGAGAGCTACCAGTGAATTCCATGGCGAGCCCACGGAGGCCTCTCCCAGCCAATCAGAGGCCCCGACCCGCCAGCCACATTCCGACTCAGAAAAGCCCGATTTCTTCCCTGCAATGTTCCACTGTGGAGATCTAAGCCGGAATGTGGTTTCGGGGTAGGTGATTGGCTGTGAAGGTGAAGCCCGGTACACGTGACCCCCACACGCCGCTCCAGAGGGAGATAGGGCGTGGCCGGCGGGGGCGGGGAGCACGCGATAGAAAACAAGCGAGCCAAACTTGAGAGGCCGAGGGGGGCCCTCTTAAAGTAACCCAAAATAAGGGACCCCCCCCCGCCCGTCTGTTTATATTAGGCTGCATTAAAAGAGCAAACACCAAAACTGTAAGTAGAGGAGGCGGGCTGAGAAAGGGTGATGGCCGGTCGCCTCGTCGCAGACAGTCCGGGACAGCCGAGCTCCCACCGCCCTGTGCGGGGAAGGCGGGCCCCAGCGGCCCCGAGAAGTGTCGGCTCTGTCTGGGTCTGCCGGCGCTCGCGGCCCTTGGGACGCCGCTGAGGTAGGAGGAGGGCGCGGATTGGCTACGGGCGCGCCCGACGTGGGAGGGGAGTGCTGCGCCGAGATTGATTGATGGGGCGGGGGAGGGGCGTGCGGAGACACCCGAGCGAGGCCGGGCCCCGCGCGCACACTCGCCCCCCGGACCCGCGCGGCGCACGCACCCCCTTTTCCCGGCCTCGCCGGAGCCCGCGCTCTAGCGGCTTTAGGAAGTGGGGAGGCAGGCGGCGAGACTCACTGGCCTTCTTTGTGTTCTTTTCTCCTCCTCTTGCGATGCTGCCGGGGGTCGTTGTCCTCCTCCTCCTCCGGCGCGGTGTTCCCTGCTGCTGCTGCTGCTGCTGCGGGGGCGGCGGCCGCCTCTCGCCGTCGCGGGATTGAAGGAGGAAGAAAAGGAAGCGAGGCCCGATCGCGTGTCCATGCAGCAGCCCCGGCTCCCGGGCCCCCACGCCGCCGCCAGAGCCCCGGAGGAGACCTGCATGGACGGGCATGGGGAGAGCTGCCCCTTCCTGCGCCGCCGCCGGGGCTGAGCCGCGCCGGCGCCGCCTCCGTCGCGGCTGGCGCTCGCCTCCGCTGGCCGCTGTGCTGCTCCTGCTCGGCCTCGGGGGGCTGCCCGCAGGTATCGACAGTCCCCTGCCCCGCGGGGGGGGGGCGCCCACACGTGCTCCAGCGCCCACGCACGCGCACCCACACCCCACTCACGGCCTCAGTGACAGGCGCAGGCTTGCGCGGGGATGGGTGGGAGAGGCGTCCTAACTTTACTTGGAGATGCTCCCCCGAGAGAAGTTGGCCACGGTGTGGTGGGGAGCCCATGGAAAAGATTCGATTTCTTTGTTTCTGGCAGAAACCCCTAGAGATTGCAGAAGCAAACGTGTGTGTGTGTGTGTGTGTGTGTGTGTGTGTGTGTGTGTGTGTGTGTGTTTGGCTTCAAGACACCTGGCTGCAGAGCCACCTTTTAGCAAAACCTTGTAGTTGGAGCAGCTGCGACAAACTTAAAAACATTTGGCGAGCCTGGGAGGTGCGTGTAAGATAGCCCCTTCTCACGAGCCTTCCCTCCCACTTTGCACAGACCACTGAGAGATCTCCCCTCGGTGAGAGCTGGAGTGTTGGTTTTGAGCTTTAGGCAAATGCTCTGGATGCATTATTACTTTCTGCGATCGTATTTACCGAAAGCCCGGGATCAGATCGAGTTTCCGCTGCTGCCTCCTCCCTGCTGGAGAGAAGGAGCCTTGGGCTGTTTCTCTGGAGTTGGGGGGTTGGGGAAGTGGAGAGGTCGTGCATTTTAACTGGAATGTGGAAACCAGTATGTAGCTTAATCTCAACGTAACTAAAATGCTTTTAACCGACTCCCTATTTGAAAAACCTGGTTTAAAGCAGCCTTCAGTTCTCTCCCTAAAAACTTGTGGCTAGAAACATTTTCGGGGACTATAGAGTGTGAGAAAGGTTAATGTTTGCCAGCCGTGATATAGTCCATATTATTCTTCCCTAATGAAAACAGCACTGTAGGTACTTTGATTTGGGGCAGCAAGAGAAGGAAAGCAGTCATAGTCTGGTTAGATTGGTAGTTAATGTGTTAAAAATCTATTTATTCATTCCACTTTAAAAGAGTACCAGGTTTCTTTGTAAGGCATTGGCTTAGGGGGAAAAAATGTATTAAAAACTGGAAAGGGTTTTTCTCTGGAACTGGAAGTTTTATCCTTTTACTTCAGGATCTTTCCATTTATTTAGATGAACAACAATCACCAGTGCTTATATATCAGCAAAGTATGTGAATAGTGTGCTTTTCACGCCACTGAAACAAATGTTGTAATTGTACTTATTAGGTCACCAGCCACTTTAAAATCGGGGATGTCTTTTGGAGGGGGGGGCGGAAACCAGAAGAAAACGCTTTGCTCTTTGGAGAAGCAGTACAACCCATTTTGTCTTGTTTCCTATTGTAACTGCTGATATGAGGGGAAGATAGAGGGCAGACCTTAAGAAGTGTGTGTCAAGTTTCAGAATTAAAATTTTTTTTAATGAGATTTTATTTCCTTTAGAAAATAAATAGCTAATTGTATGCTATATATCCAGGAATACTCTTTGACAGTGTTTAAAAGGTACATTGTTTTAAAATGGTTAGAGGATCTTTGAAAAGATGGGAGGAGTCATCTCAGTGTTTGCATCACTTTCTGCTTGGGCTCAAAGAAAATAAAATTGGACCAAATGAGTGTTTTAACAAAAGGGCAATTTTGATAATCAGATGTTTTGCATTGTGTGGGTTGATGTGTAAAGTACTAGGTATCTGCAGCAAGAAAATATAAAGCACAGTGTCGTGCTCATAATTGTAGTGATAACTAACACATGTAACATTTTAAATTTTGCCTTATATCTTCCCATTTGAGCCTTACAATAACTGTGTGAGATAAACACTGTAGGTATTTTACCCTCTACTCCTCTTTCGATCAGTCACTGAGGCATGAAGCTCAGAGGGATGAGGGAATTGGGGCTCAGAAATTAAGTAACTTGCCCATAGTTACATAGTGTCAGAGGTGGGATTTATGCTCAGTCTTCTGACTTCAAGTCCAGCAAGCCTTCTGATATACCATACTGTCCAGTCGTATTTAATGTTGTTTTTGTTGTAAATATTAAGCTAGGCCTGTTTTAGCCTTGGCTACTCTGGTAGTACATAACTTGATAATGATGGAAACCTTTTTGGAAGTATAGAATTCACCAAAACCTTGACTTGGAAAATTGAGACTTCTTTGTTTTAAAATTTGGAACTTGAAACTTAATGATTTTTTAAAGCTTATTTTTAATACAACCTCACTTTATTAAGGCAGTAGTTGAGAGATTTCTTTGAACATTTGTTTCAATCTGGCCCAAGCAATTTATGTTCTGGAAAAGGATTGTCTAGCCCCCTTTCTTTAGTGTGAGCCCTCCAGTAAGAGCAATACTTTCTGAAAATGCAAGGAATGATTATTTTTCGGGGATCCTAGTCAAGCGCTTTTTGCAGATGGGCGACCATATGTTTTATCATTGTAATCATGGGATTTGCCTCAGCACTTATGTGGCTTAAAGATTCATTCTTTTTAGTATAGCTTGCATGCATCTCATATTATCAAAAAATTCATCTTATTTCAAAATTGTATGAGTAAATTTGGCTCATTTATTTGTGACAGTTATGTGTTGAAATCCTTGGCAATAGGATCTTTTGTAAACGCACATCCATTAGCACATTCTTCTCCATTAACTGAAACAAAAATAGAGCAGCTAATCTTCCTTCACATTAATAACAAATAACTTGATGAACAAAACAGTGAAACCTTTACCTGTAAATTTTTAATTTACTCCCTTGGGAAAGCATAGAGTGCATTATTCACATATTTTTAACAAAGCTCTGCATTTCCTGATTGTGGATCAAATATGGAGCAGCTTGCTTCCTCATGTACTTCTTGGCTTTCCTTTGCTAGATCTTTGAGACTATTTCTACTTGGCCTTGTCTTGGCATTTTGACAGGAGGTTTACCACTTATAACAGGCAGAGTGTGCATTGCCATTATAAATTCATGAAGCCTAGATATTTCTGGGGGAATGTTGCAGATTAGTCATAATAAAGAAACTTGGGGTGAGGAGTTGAGATTGATGAACTTGGGCCTGTATTTCCCTTTCTTTTTTTCCAGTTTTCCCCTCTTCCTCCACCATTCCGTACTAAAAGACCAAACAGCAGTCCAACACTATTTAGTTCCTCATCCCTGGAATATGTGGTTTCCGTTTTATGTAAGATTTCATAATGGGGTCAACATCTACCTACCAGCTGAAAGGAAGGGAGTAGAGAGAAAAAGAGAAAGCAAAGGGGTTAGAAATTTAATTCTTCTCCCTTTCTGTTTGGACAGTTAGTGCATTTGCATTTCCACACCACTACTTTTGATAGTTTATGACTATTTGAAATAATTACAAGTAGATGTATGCTCAGTTGAATTTTATAGACCATAAAAAGAACAAATAGGCCCAGTAAGTTTAGCGGAAAGTTCTTGTGCTATCGTGCAAGTATAAAAGCTGGATGTTAACCAGGTTATCTTAAGACCATATTTTCATTTCTTTACTTCCTGCTATGCTGTGAATCAGTTGCTTGAGTCTTTACTACCATGGCCACTGCTAATGTATAAACGATAATACTTAATAGAGAAAATGTAGCCTTAACTGGAAAGTAGAAGGCAGAAAGAGCACTAGATTTACTATCAGAAGACTTGAGTTTGAATCTTTACACTTATTTTAGCTGTTAACTTTGGACAGTTACTTAACCTCTTTGAGCAACAGTGTCACCATCTATAAAATTAGAGGCTTGGATTTGATGACCTGTAAGGACCTTTTCAGCTCTAAATCTATGATCTGTGATCCTGTGAGGACTGGGAATCAATAGTTAAGTGTTAGGAGTCAATGCTTACTGTTTATGTTTAACAAAACTAAGCTCTCTGAACTTTATCTTTTTTTTCTATCTATAAAATAGCCTTAACTGATTTTTTTTTATAGTATAATGCTTTGAGAATGATCAAGTTTCTTTTGACGAGAATGGCTTTAAAAAGCACCTATTTTAACTACTCTAAAAAAAGTACCTACTTTAACTACTCTAATTTTAAACTCTTAGAAAATAGGACCCAAAGCCATCAGCTGTTTTTGTGCTGGGAGCCTTGAAAGAAAATGCAAATTTAGGATTATAGTTATGGTTCAGTAATTGCTTTCGTTTGTCCAATGTGCAATATTCACTCCTCTGGTTTTGAATCAGTTAAAATTAACATCAAAGCCTAGGATATCTTGTTTCCTTATTTTAAAATTTAAAAGGTAAATGAGGGAATATGATGTTTCTTTATATATTTTTTTTAATTTCTTAACAAAAATGATATCACCATTGGCTTATTATGGACTTTAAAAATTTCCCACTGAAACGTGATAAAGTTCTTTTGGGTTCAAATTTAGCATCAGTGTTCTAATGTAAGGTTCAATTGGGATTTATTTAAATAATTGTTTCATTTTTAATACCCAGAAGTACCCATGGCGTGATCTATATTCTTGTAGGTCCACTTCTATATTCCAGTATTTATATTAGGATAAATACTGATTTTGTTCCCCTTATGTGTTCCTTCATAATTCAGGGACAAACTATAAAGATGTTTTGGCAGTTATTATTTTGTGTTTTATGGCATATATTATGCATTATTTCTACTTAAGAAAAAAGGCAGTAACTATAGTCACATCTAGAAATCAATGTTTTACATTGCTTTGTTCATTTGGTTCAAAATTGTAAAAGCATAGTCAGTCATAGCCATCTGCCTCTGTTATAGAGAATATCTCAATATCTGTCTTTTCTTTTGTCGTTGGCCATCTGTGGAATAATAAATCCTCTGCAAATGTTTGGTCCAGAGCATTTGATCTCGTGGTCCTGAGAGAATAAGAGAAAATTTTAAAAATTAAAATTTTTGGCAATACACTTGTTTATAGGTAGGTAGTTAAACTTTCTAGAAGGCTGGTGATTATAAGTTGTGGTTAAAGTGGAGTGTGTCTGTATGCTTGGCTAAGAGAAAGTCATATTTTTAAGACTCTTAGTACTTTCATTTTCTTAGTATAGAGGCCGTGTAGATACATAGTATGTGAGTTCAAACCCATATTTTGAATTTTTAAATAGATATTTTGTAGTTTAGAAATATGTATTTTTTCCTTTGGGTAATGATAGGTGCTTCTATTTTTCACAGTATCACCTCAGGTAGTGTTGCTTTACTTTCTAAAGCTAATAATTTTTTTTTAAATAATGCAGTAGAATTCTAATAGAGAATAGACTTTAGAATAGAATTTACCTGTATAATAACTGAGTATTTTAAGTGTACTTAAAAAAATAACAATTTGAATAAATACTTTCATTTACCATTCTATCATAGCTACTGAGAATAATGTACGTAGTTGGTTCAGGTAAGAAATTTGTCTGACAACCAGTGTTTTTCTCAGGGTAGTTCGGTTTAAGAGAGGCAAAGAACCAGATTTATCTATTCTTTTAGGCTCTTTTAAATTATTGCTGAAGCCCCCTCCCCTCCCTTATTTTTTCTTCTGATCAAGGGGGTATAACAAATAGTCCCTGAAGGAAAATCATAGTTTTCTTATATAGTTTACTCAGGAAGTAATATAACCTCTTAAAATATCTCACCTTTTAAGCAGTTTGTTATCTTACTTCCTTTAGGTTATTGCCAACAGCCAGCCCAGTGTCGAATCCAGAAATGTACCACAGACTTTGTGTCACTGACTTCTCACCTGAACTCTGCCATCGATGGCTTTGATTCAGAGTTCTGCAAGGCCCTACGTGCTTATGCTGGCTGTACCCAGCGTACCTCCAAAGCCTGTCGTGGAAACCTGGTTTACCATTCAGCTGTGCTAGGAATCAATGACCTCATGAGCCAGAGAAACTGTTCCAAGGATGGACCCACATCCTCTACCAACCCCGAAGTTACCCATGACCCTTGTAACTATCATAGCCATTCAGAAACTAGAGAACATCAGGGAGGGGACCAGAGTCCTCCCACTTATCTTTTTTGTGGCTTGTTTGGAGATCCTCACCTTAGAACTTTTAATGATCACTTTCAAACATGCAAGGTGGAAGGTGCCTGGCCTCTTATAGATAATAATTATCTTTCTGTACAAGTGACAAATGTACCTGTAGTCCCTGGATCCAGTGCTACTGCTACAAATAAGGTAAGACTGACTTTTCTTTTCTAACTTTGAGTCATGTAATGAGCTGAATTTGGATTGAGAAGCAAAAGTTTCAATTAAAATGGAGCCTTTTTTTTTTAAGAGTTGATGGGGTCAGTTTTAGGGGTTGATGTTGGTTTGGTTTTTAAAACTGTGAGTTGCCTAACTCAGTTATTAGGGTTCATTGTAAAATAAGCCAGATTAAGAAACAAAGATATATGGGGTGAAAAAAATAACATCAAAATTTGAAGAACTGGGCAAATAGTTTTTAACCACAGCATGCCTGTTTCTATCAGTTATGTCTCTCTGTGAATATATTGCTTTTGTCTCTTTTAAGCATTCAAATAACAAATTAACTGAAGTATGTGAGTTGGTAAGGAAGGGTAGGTGTCTGAGGCCCAAGGAAATGACCTATTTGGGAAACAGATTTCATTGGAAATTTAGAAAAGGTAATAAAATATAGTGGTTCCAAACCAGCACTGATGCAAACTGTCTAGGGTATCTTAGCTATTAACTTAGTGATGACCAAGGGTGTGTAGAGTGTCTATTGCAGTGCAATGATATATGGTCTATAATCACAGGATAACCTGTGGACTACCGAATAGCAATTTAAGGCTAGAGGTGGGGGAAGAAACTAAAAAATTACATTCAGCTTACCCTGACCAGCTGGCCCATGTTTTATACAACCACTAGATATGGCGTTCTTAACCTTATTTGTGTTTTGAACACCTTTGGCAGTCTGAAACCCATATACGCTCTTCTTAAAATATTTTTAAATGCATAAAATAAAATATGTAGGATTACAAAGGAAACCAATTATATTGAAATCTTTCATTAAAAAAAAAATCCAAGTTCTTGGATCCCCGGTTAAGAACCTCAGCTTTCATGTTGTCTCCGTGGAAGAGAAGGATCTATGTGCTGACCTTAGATTCTTATATCAGTCTTATTCACTGTAAGTAAACAAAGGATTGGTAATACAGAATTTTTGCAAGAAATGGTATCCTCAATATTTCCATCATCATCTACTACCTCTGTGGAAGGTCTTAAATATAAAAATATCGTATTAGGCAAAGATTTTTTGAACAAGTAATTTCCAAACTTTTGTGATTTTTTTTCTTTATCACTTTTTTTTAAAAAGGCAATTGGGGTTAAGTGACTTGCCCAGGGTCACACAGCTAGTAAGTGTCAAGTGTTTGGTCTGAGGCCGGATTTGAACTCAGGTCCTCCTGACTTCAGGGCTGGTCCTCTATTCACTGTGCCACCTAGCTGTCCCCTCTTTATCACTTTCTAAGAAAATGTTATGTTGCCTCATCCATAAACATTCTACATGGCATATGTTATTTTAAAATTAATTTTTGTAGGCATGTTGTAGAAACTGTTACAAAACCTCTGGAGATAATTGGAGACCCCTCTAAAGGTGTCCAGTTTGGAATTCATTTCTCTGAACAAAGAAGAATTTGGACGTGTATGATAAATACAAATATGTTTGCAGTTATAATCTCAGCCAAAACCTAAAACTTCCATTTTGTTTTCTCAGTCTTATAATAAATTCTGCCAGTGATTTTTATGTAGAATTTTTTTTGTCATGTACCTATTAAGGAACATGTTAGTTATAATGTATATACAAGGTGTGACTATAAAAGAATCCATCTCATTACTTTTATGATTTTAAAAAAATCATAACCAAAACATTGTTTAAGGCCACTGAACATTGGAAATGCAAGAAGAAAATCTCTCCTGGGGTGTAAAAAGTCAATACTGGAAATTTTCTAAGCTACTGGAGACTGTGGAGATGGCATAGAATGTAACCATTATTTTGTGTGGAGGTAAGAGAGGAAGACATGACTTACTTTTCAGGAGGCTCATGCACCTTATAAATTGTCACATCTTGTAATGTCTTCTGTCTTCTTTCAGCCTTTTAAAAATTTTATTGCTTTGGAATGACTATACTTAAAAATATTCTGCAGGATCTGCTATTTTATTGGAGATTAATATTTATATGTAGTAGAATGATCAAATAGCAAAGGAGTAATTGAGGTATTTTCATTTTTGTTGGTCTTTTGTTACACTGTTGAGAAATGGTTCTTCACATCTGGTAACCATGCTGTCCAGCAGCAAAATCCTCAGTGGCTCTACTGCGGCCTGCAGTGTCTTTCTTCCTTAACCACTCTGTAAATCCTGTCTCAGGGTTTGTTGAGTGCATGTATATATCATGAACAGGCCAGTCTGAGGTAGAGAATACTAGAATAATATCTCAAGGATTTCCTTAACTTAATCTCCTTAATCTCTATATTATATCAAAACTTTCTTAATCTCAATACTAGAATATATCACAAGGACTTCTTTTAATTTCCCTTTTTCAGGACTTACCTATAATCTGTTAAGCTGTGGTCAGCTCCATTGAAGAGATTGCTATATTTGAACATGTTCTTTATTCTGTTTCCATCCAAAATTGGGCAGTCCTTTGCCTAATCTCCCCTCCCAAAAAAACATTCACCCTTCTTTAAGAAGAAAATATTGTATGGTGAAAAGGATTCCTGAGTGGGATATTCCTCTCTTAGGTAGAATCCTCTCCACTTGTTTTCTTGAGCAGGCTAATTTGGGATTATAGAATTAGAACTGGAAAGGACTTCATAGGCCCCTAGCCCAACCCTCTCACTTCAAAGATGAGAAGGTGAAGGCCCAAAGAACATTAAGTGATGTGCTCTAGGTCACATTTTAGAGTCAGAAGTGGGCTTTGAACTCAGGTGCTCTCTCTAGAGTCTGTAAGTACTTTTTCCACTCACTTCTTAATTCTTCTCTCCTACCCCTTTGATGCCTTTATAGTCTGTCTGTCTCCCTTCCCCCAGAAAACAACCAAAAAAAATCAGCAAGTAAAGTTCTATCTTTTTCTTCTCTTGCTGTAGGAGGCCTTTTCTAACTAACCAAAATAAGTAATAGGACCTGTTACTTTATGAAGTATACTGTGAATAGCTGAAGGGCAAATAGGTTTGTCCAAAGTATCCAAAGAAATACTTAGAGGAGCTGGAAGGGGTCATCTAGACCAATCCCTTCATTTTACAAATGAGGGGATTGTGGACTAGAGTCTGAGGGCTTTGTTCCAGCTCATATAAGTAGCCTGCATTCCTCCCACCATACAGCGTTGTCACCACATGTATACATCTATGTCATTTGTCTACCTTTTCTTCCCCACTCCTAGAAGAGAGTGTAGCTTGTCTTGCTGTGTTCAGGTTTCATTTTTTTTAGGAGTTGTTTTTTGCATTCTCTTCCCCCTTAGTTTAATAGTCCTCTTTTGGGGGTTCTGTTGGATATATGCATTGTATTTTCCATACTGTCAGGAAGGTGCTTTACCAGCTGGCGAGGTTCTCATTCTTTCAGCCCCCATACCCACCCAAGCAGGGGACGGAAGGGGTTTCTGGCATGGCAGCACTCCTCTGCAGATCTGTATCCGTTCTGGGCTTTCCTCCCTAAATGTGGCTGCTTAAGATAAATGTAGGTGCCCAAGCATGGAGGCAAGGCAAGGTGAGAGCTGCAGAACTGGAACTTCAAATAATTTCTTGAAGGAGAAGCATTTCTCTGTAGGATGAGGAGAGCCCAATTGCATTAGCTCCCAAAAGGCGAAGTATAAGCCACTTTGGATGGGGCTGTAGAACTTCTCTGGAATCCTTAGTGCAGTGTTTTCAAACTCATATAGAAACAGGCCGCTAATGTGTATGTAAGGGTCCCTGCAGGTTACATGCTGACTAGGAAAACCACATATTAGCGTCTGTGTTCTATTGTATACTTATTTTGTTAAATATTTCCCAATTACATTTTAGTCTGTTTGGGTCACACTTCCTGCATGTTTGACCCCTTTATTGCATCCACCCTTTGTACTGCAATCTCTATACTTGTATTCACTGTAAGCTCTTGTTTAGCCAAGTTATGTGTGTCATGTGTCCTGATTTAAGTGAATCCAGGATAGAATATTAAAATCCAGATTACCAGATAATGTAAATTAGGTTGGATTATTCATCTTTCAAAACAATTAGTAGATATTTAAAATATTAGAGCAGGAAAGGACCTTAAGAACCGTATAGTCCAAAAACCTTATTTTTTGCACTGATACCTAGAGACATGAGATGATTTGTCTAAGGGCACATAGATCATTATGAATATAATTGGATCTAAAATCTTGGTTTCTTAACTCCAAGCCAGGGGCTGTTCCATGCAGCCTCTCAAGAGCAGGTTGAAATGTGACTCTATTTGTAGGAATTATATTTTTATACCATAATTCAGTCATACACCTACTTTTAAAAGTAAAACACATCTATAATGCTAATTTTAAAAAATCAGTTTTCTTACTCAAACCAACACCCTGGCCCCTTTGGTCCCTGCTTCTCACTCTAATTAACATATTCTTATGTTTGTGTTTTTTTCTGTCATGTCTCCCCTGCTTTCAATCATACTACTTCTATCTTGTCTCAGTAAGAAAGGAAAATGGTGGGACCTTTCTGTTGCCCTTTCATTGTAAATTTTCCTGTGCACTGGATCGTTGTAGAAACTCATTTACTTGCAGGTTAGTTTATGTTTTCAGGAAGGAAGTTTGTTCTTTTGCACATGTTTGTACCAGATAGTGCTCATGAGAGAGAGTGACAGATTGTTTCTGGTGAATGGGCTAGCATCTGGACAAGCTGGGACTGCCTTGGTGTGTTTCCTATTGTCACCACTCTCCAAGCCGACATGTGTTACCAGTTCTCCGGATTCAGGTGGGCAGGATAAATCTTGACAGACTTCCCAGCGCTATTGAGGAGAATGCACAAATTGCTTTTCACACGTGGGAGTTCTGTTCTCCAGCCCTGGTCAGTGAAGGTTCTCAAATTCTTCAAGCCTAGCCTTCGGCCCTCTTCATTCTTCTGGCCCCTAGGGTGAGATCAGCCAGTTTTCATGTTAGGCTTCTAGATCCCATCTCTCTAAGCTGCATAGTAACTTTCATTGAGTTCTTCTAAAATTCATAATGGTGG